AGCCTAATTTAGAGATAGCTTAGACTCACACTGCATAAAGCAATGGTCCTCTGCAAGAGCCTCCCCAGGTTCTCTCATATTGAACACTGATATATATATTAATATTTTTTATCTTTTCTGTTATTCTTACATTGATGTGCTCAGCTAAATCTTATTCCCCTCCTATAAGCATGGCAGTAATATGCATTTAGCCCACTTATTTTACCAAATCTTCCTAAAACTTCAAGGAAAGGTTTACAAAATCCTTCAAAAATATGACATTTCATTATGAAGGACTGTTAAGAGGAAGGTTAGCAAGCATTTATTCTCTCCATGCTAAAACCTGGAAGGTAAGATCACAATGTGTTGGATAGGCAAGTATTTATTCTTGTTGACATCAGTCCACATGCATCAGATACACATACACTGACTGAGTGGCAGTCACAGGAGTACATTTTTCAACACCTTTTAATCATCAGTGAAAAGACAGTGAGCAAAAAACCTAATAACATCCTTCATAATGAAGAAAAAAATTATCAAAAGCAACCAGACCTTTTTTTCTTGGAATATCAAACAAAAGACAATCTAGAATAGGCAGAGCTTTTTCTCCCTTTTTCACAACTTCATTCAGCAGCTGACTACAGTCAGCTCATGCAGGATAGTACCATTCCCCTCCAAGGTCATGTACAGTTCCACAGAGGGTGCCACTGCCCAACAGCACAGCAGTGTCATTGGTGCAGTGCAGAAACAGAATGTGTTAAACAAAAGTAACTCTTACTACACAGGACTTCTAGGACAAATAGACATGGTCTGAAGGCCACTCCAAGGTGGTATGTTAAAATCTTAAAGGTAAAACTCTTTCTGTATGACAGGGGAGAGTTCCCACTAATCCAAGGATCATGCACATTCCCAGATAAGGTGACATAGCAAGGTACGGAAGTCATTACTCCTTTCTTTTCCTAGTCTAAAGAAATCCTGTCCATACTTATACTTTTCTGCCATTCTTTTAGCTATGTCATGAGGATTTGTCCTCTTTTTCTGTCCCTTTAATCTTTCTCCAGGCCCTCCATCATTTGCCACCCCAACATCTGCAATAGCCTAACAAAACTGTCATGCCTCCCCCTTGTCACAATCCCCTTCACCCAGTCCACTACAAAGATACATCAGTTAATACCGACACCACCATGTTGTTCCAGTGGTACCATTCCATGTTTATTTCCTTTCTCCAGATCACACTTTCCCTCTGCCTCTTGCTCTCAAAGACCTTCACAAATTAATCTCTTCTCTATTCATTCCCTGAAATGAATCCTGTAGTATGGAGGTAAAAGACACGTGGTATCAGCAGATGCAGTGGGGGAGATTATGTTCTACTTAGCAATGTTCTACTTAAGCTGCCTGAGAGAGAGGGGTGACCCAATGGACTGAAGGAAATGGTCTGAGAGATCCAGGCAGGCCTGGAGCAGCAGCAGTGGATGTGATGATCACTACATCTGCAAATGTTGAATGTAAGCGCCACAAAGCAGGACAGCATGTTTGAACAGAGACCAGCTGGAGGAAACTCCAAATATGACATTGGGATAATATCTAGAGAAGGAAATGCTGCTAACATCCAAAAAATAAAGATTTTACATAAAAGAGCAATGATGCTGAAATAAATGGTGTTGTCAATGAGAAGGGATTAGAGAACCCGAGATGCTAAGATTTGGTCTCTTGAAGATTAGTTGTTCAAATCCCCACTCTTGATGAGGATTAGCCCAGGAGGTGTGTTTTGCATCTTCCACCTAGATACTGATGTATCTGAAGTGTTTCTCTATTCAGTTCTTAAAACCCCAAATTGCACTCTAAAATGCACACTCAGCAGACATTCCCCAGTGATTCCCGCCACCTTAGAGATGACTCAGAAAAGTTGTTTGTTACAGAAATTAAAAATTTCCATCCATGCCATAGCAGGAAACAAGAACAGTCTTCTTGGGGGTTGGTACTTAACATGTTGAAGTACCTCAGTGAAATGAAAACCTCCTCCCTTTGAGATGGAATGCTGGCAGGCCTCTGTTAGTGGCAAGCTCAAATTTAAGGTGATATCCCAAGAACTCACATATACTCCCTGTCACCGTCATCACAAAAATCCCTCAGTCATTAAACAATGACTAAATAAGTTAAGCCTAAAGAGTCTTGCATACCTCAGGCTTTGTAGATGTCCTGCCTCTGGAAGTCACCAGAGCAACAGACTAGTCTAGCTTTGCAGATTGCAGTGTCCTTTTCAGGTGTCCTCAGTTGCTAAAACAGTGCTCTGCTATGTCACTGGCACTGGGATAACTCTTCAGGCTGGGTCCCCACCTCTTTATTATAGCAGAGTTTATTAAACTGAGCGCCTAAAGTGTCTTGTTGCAGGTTTAGCAGCAGCTGAAGGAAGCCTTGCAGACTGTGTTGGACACCAGTAAAATTTTCTCCAGATGAGCCCCAAAACCTGCTTTACACTCTCAGGTGCAAGTGGTGTCTGCTGACTTGGGCTAGAAAATGGAGGCTGGCTGGAGCAATCCATGGCTCAGCCATGTCGGTGTTTGGAAAAGGCAGCGTTCCATGACCACGCCAGCCCCAGGAGAGCAGATTTTCTGTGAACAACCTTTGAGGGCTGCAGTTATGATTTGGCATACAAAGGGTGGGAATGAAAACATGCAGAGCATCCCTCCTTGGGAAGGGGTCAAAAAGAACAACAACCCCCTGTGCACCTTCGAATGTAAGAACAGCCCTTTTTCTTGCTCTTTACAGACACAAATAAGGAAACTGCATTGGGGCTTGAGGGAAAGCAACAGGCCATGGAAGTCATCCTGGAACTGGCAAACAGACAGCAGGAGCAGAAGCTGGGTACAACAACATTGTCCTTTCATGTTCTGTGAAGCTATGCCTGCTAAAACACAAGCCTGAGGGGCTCTGCAACTCGATCATTCTCTGAGACGTGCCAGATTGGCACTAGAAAAAAATACAAAACGCAGCAAATCCAAGTACCCAAATGGCAGAAGGATGCCTTCAGGTACACGCAAAAAGCTGTACATATGCACAATCAACATCCCATACTTCCTCATGCTAACGGCAACTGAGTCTGCAAAAGAAGCTGGTAAAAACCATTACAGGGCATCCCTCTCATAAACCACTGGGAAACATTAACTCCTAAAGTCTTTCATTTTGATGAAGTTCTGTATTACCAGATTGATCAAGTCAGAAGAAAATGGTATCTGAGGAACTACCCTCGAGGGAATGGAAGGCTGCTGGGCAAGTTTAGCACACATCTTTGTGATGGCAAAAAAAACCAAAGGCACAGCTACTTTGTTCTGCTCCTGGGATCCAGTTAACCGTGGCTACAGGGCAGAGCCTAATTGTTTCTTTCCAAAGGAGCTAGGATAAGGCAGAGGTGAGGGGAAGCTTATCAACCTTTAAATACTTTACCATCTGCTAAGAACCAAGCAAGTAATGGTTTTAACATTTGGTTTGAGGACAATTTACCGACCTCCGTATACAACAAAAAGACCAGCTTAGGAACAGCCTCTCTGTGATGTGAGGGAGAGAGAGTAAAGAGATAAAAAAAAAAAAGGTTGTACATGGGAGGATATATACAGCATCTAACACTTTACACAAGGCGTGCTTTGCTTTTACAAACACCAAAATATAACGTATATCACTACTGAAAGTATCATTGTTTTCCAGCAAGATTGTGAGTTTATAAAATCAGATGAAGCAGACTATAAAGACTGGCAGTTGATGTTCCCCAATATATGTGTGATAAACATTAATGAAAAAAAAACTTATTCTATTCCAATATTTGACCTTAAAAGACCAAGGAAGCATCCTCACCACACTGCCTACAAGCTGGTTCAAGTAAATTACACCTATAACTAGCCTGCTTCATCTGTGGAAGGAAAACAACCACAGCCTCTCTCTGCACTAAATATTAATGTCTAGGCAGACAAAAGCAGCACTAGGAACACTGTAATAATATCACTGGCAGACACTATGTGTTTCTTTGGGGCACTCACACATCAGCACTAGGAATATATACGCCTGTTGTCCCACCTTAAACTAATGACTTGTTCTGAGACATTCCTCTGGGAATCACAGTTGTTATTTATATTTTCAGACATTTAAAGGATTAAAGTGTGTTTATTCTCGGTAATCTCATTTGTAGAGAAAGATATATACAGGCATCAGGAGTATGCATTTTAAGCCTATTGGGAATGACCAAATACAGAGTGCCGTTGGCGGCCACCTACCCTCTCTCCTCTTCAGTATTCAGGACCTCCAAAAGTCTCACCAGCCTGGCTGCTTCCATTAAAAGTATCTATGAATTGCAGGTTACAGGCACTTCTAATAAACTACTCCATGAGCTCTTGGTGACAAGAAGATGTGCATATAGCCAAGAGATCCAGCTGGAAATTAAACTTCATGCATGTCAAGTAGCCCCATTCATATAAAATTGCTCTAGGCTGGAATGAAATATCACTGGTTGAAGAAAAATAACTAGAGCACTGGGCGATACGGTGTTCCCCGGGCTATGAGGAAATGTATAAACCGCTTTAATGAAACAGATGTGCCGAAGTACTGGGGTGGTGGCAAAACGAGTGGCTGGTCAGGAGGTGAGGCGCGCTGCAAGCATCCGGATACAGGATGGATACAGGAACAGCTGCAGGCTGCGAGGGATGGCAGCCCTGTCTGCAGAGAGACGGTGCTGTACAAAGCCCGCCGCAGCCGGCGCTGCCAAAGCCGAAGGCAAAGCGGTTCAAGTTGCTGCCGAGCGGCTCCGCTACCGCCGGCGCTCCTGCCCCGGGGCCGGTGCCGCTCCGCCACCGCCCGGCTGCCGCGCCACACTCGGGGATTCCTCCCCGCCTCGCCCCCGCTGCACGCCCGGCTGGCAGCGGCTTTCGGCCAGGCGTGCCCGAGCGATCCCCGCGCCGCTCTGCCGGCACCGGGACCGGTGCCTCTCCCCCATCCCCGGCCGCCGCCGCCTCCCCGCCGGGCTCGCTCCTTACCCGTCTCTTTGTCCTGGGCGGCTTCCAGGTGCAGGTCGCTGAGGAGATGCTCCAAAATCTTCTCCGGCGTCCCCGACACCACCACGTATCTGTCGGAAAGCAGAGAGTCCCCGGAGTCATCCTCGGTGGAGGACTGCGAGCGGCTGCTCCACTCATCCTCCTCGTCCTCCTCGTCGATGTACTTGAAGTAAGGCACGTCGAAGGTGGGCAGCGGCCGCTCCCCGCCGCGGCCCGCCAGCGCCTCGGGCACCCGCGCCCTGCCGCTGCCCATGGCGCCCGCTCCCTGCGCGCCGCCGCCCGGCCCTAAGCTCCCCCCGCCGGGGCCATCGCCCTGCCGGGGCCGCGGGCCGCGCCCCGCCCGCCGCCGAGCCCGGCCCGGCCGGCCCAGCGCCGCACGCCCGGAGCCGCGGAAGCCTTACCTCCCGCGCCGCTCGGGGGCCGGGCTGCGTGACCACACCTTCCGCAGCACCAGCGCCGCGCCGGCCGCCTCCCGCGCCCGCTCGCCGCCGCCTCCATCGTCCACCTTCCGTGCACAGAGGGACAGAGAGAGCGCGGTCAGTGCCCAGCGCGCTCGGGGCTGGGGCTGCCATCCCGCCGCCCGCGGGAGCCGCCGCCGGAGGCTTAAACTGGGGAGGGGGCTCTTTGCACCCCGGTACAGGGAGGCGGAACGGGCTCCCTTTGTGAGAGGCGCTGGGCTCCGTGTGCTGGATTTTAATTCACAGAACCCAGTGAGAGGGGGGCTTTCAATATGTGGGTTTCCGGGTCCCCAAGGTGATGGTTTGTTTAATTCCCAGACAGTCAAACAAAGCAGGGGACAGGTAACAATAGTCTGAAAGCGGCAAGTGCTCCCGAGCGTGACAGTAATAGAGAGGCAGAATACACCTTCTCTGAACCTTCTCCCCTGTACTTCAGTAAAGGCAATACAAACAGTGGAGCAGGCATGTAATGTGTACCTCTGAGCATCTCCTAAAATACTCCGTGTACGGATCTCCCTTCTTTTCAACAACTTTTTAACTTGGGAAACAAACACCCCCACAGAAAGTTCAGCCCAGTGACCGCTGCATGTGTGAATCCTGGCTAAGCTGCGCTTTGTACCCCGAGTTTCTCCCTCCCCGCTCCCTGAAACGGAAGGGAGGTGAGCCCCGATCCATTTGTGCACACGCAGCCCGCATCCCCAGCGAGCCGGAGCCAGCTGACTGAGCAGTGCGGAGATGAGGGCTGGCTGCTGACCGAGCAGGGCGCAGTGAAACGCGGCGGCTGCCGGAGAGCGGCGCGCAGCCCCCTGCGAGATCCTCCTGGCACGTTCAGTCACCGCAGAGTGAGCGACACAAAAGAGGCAGCTGTTTCAATGCAAGTACATCCCAGTAGGTGCTGTTCCTCTAATTCTGACCTGGTTTAGTTATATGGTTCAGTATGCCAAACACACATATGAAGGCCATACATGTAGTACTCAAAGAAGAGAAAATAGCATTTATGCATGAAGTGTACAGTATCCAGCAGTGAAAAAGACTTCTAATGGGTTAGAAATTGTTAAGGAGCAGAGCTACCTTGGCATAATAAGGGAGAGAAACCACTTTATGATTCCTCTATTATTTTATTTTTTATTCCGAGACCCAGTGAATCTGACTGCTACTTCTGGTTGTCACTGTGGTGCAGACATGCCCAAAGATGCAGCCCCTGCCCTGAAGAAGTTTTCTTTATCAGTAAAGAACATGTAGAATTGATCTATTAAATTTCTGCAAGGTCAGAAATACAGGTACTGAGCCAATTAATATAAGATATTCATTGTAACACTCCCAGGAGACATTACTGAGCAGCCACGTTACAAGAATACTGATGCATAATTGTAATCTTCCATTTCACTGGCCATGTTTTTTTGTTGCCTACATATTTGAAAAACTGCAATGAAATAAGCAGCAAAAGAGAAGGAGAGGAAGAACAGGCACATCATTAAAGCAATTCAGTAAAAGGGAGGTTTATCCAAACAAATAAATTGCTCCATTTCTCTGTCTCTTCTCTGGCATTTCCATCCTCTAAAATAGCCCTGATCCTCATTTCCCTGTGTTCACTGACATTCCAAACTGCAGCACATGGAGAACGTATGTGATGTATGGTGCTGTATTTGTACAAGCCATCTATTTCCTCATATATGGGAATGGATTTTAAGCACACCCATATACATTACATACATGAGCAGCTGGCAGCAAATCAACAGGGAGCACTGGGAGGGTGAAAGCTCTTTCATACTGAAAGGACATTAACAATGGTTGGTGTAGAAGACAGTGTTTCCCCTTCAGCATCTCACTAGGCAGAAATATTTTCAAAAAACCTTTGGAGTAGGTGTTAGAAAATTTAGAGCATAAAGTGCCCCAAAACTAAGATTTTCATAAGGCTCTTCCTCTTGTTCTTCCCTCTTTTAGTAATTTCAAGGAAGAGAAAAATCAATATATTTTATCAGAAATTGGGCAAAACTAAGGCCAATTGGGTTCAAGTTGGATTTTCATTACCTATAATAAATATTTCCCTGAAAAAATGAGAGGAATAGAGAATTTCTTTATTTTGCTATCTTATATAAAAAAAAAAATTTCACTTTAAGGGAAGAATTACTATTTCATTAAATCTCCACTTATACATTACATATTTTTGTGTTCAGTCAGGCCCTTTAATCATACAACAAGCCACAACAATTAACCTGAACAAAGCAAAGCACATAGGCAAGTCCTACATATTTTCACAAGGTCCGATTTCAATACAGATATTACTCTAAAATGACATCAAGGCACGCTTCATTTACCAGAACCTGGAATGGTCCGTGAAATAATTCTTGCTAGAAGAAAACCACACTGTTCTCAGCGTGCTCCGTCTAAATCCAGTGACGGATGAGGAGGATGCAAGGGGCCCCCAAGTGACAGCGGCGTGTACTGAAGGGCAAGGCAGCACCCTGGCCGAGTCCCTGAAAGTCAGCAGACTGACTCAAGAGACGTTCTCATCACGCTTCCAATTAACAACGAAGCCTTCCAGCAGTTTTCCAGACCTTCACACAGCCCTTGCAACCTTCGCCGGCCGTGCAGGGGAACAGAGGCACAGCATCACCATCTCTCATTTTATGGCTGGGCAGAAGGATCAGGGCAGAGAGACCACCACAGAATCCCAGTTCGCCTGGGTGATGCTCTGCTGGCACCTGGACTTTGAGTCCCCCACGCTGACTATCTGATATTTATTTTGCTCCAGGGCAGCGGGTAGGAAATTACTCCCAGTAGCCTTGATCAGAAGACATTTGGACTTGAGGTGGGACAGAAAGAGGTAGAGCACCAAAATTCTGCAGAGGTAAACTGCCATCTCACTTTACATGTGGCCTTATGAACACTCTCTCTGTCTCATCAAGCACCATTCACATCCTGTAAGGATGTTATAATCAATCCATGGTGCACATTACCCATCACAATGAAATTTAGCTAGCTCTGCATCTGTCAGCCACTATATTTCACATTTATTACAGCTTTTAATTAATCATCTCTTGATAGCTAAACACAGCATTATCAACCTCGATGTCAGTTCCCAGCAGGAGTTTCAAGTAAACAGCAAGGTTCTCTGGACTCAGTGGATCTTCCAACCAATATTATAGCAAATTTTCCACTCCTCTCATCCATCTTTCTAATACTGAGGTAAGCCATTTATCTCCTGGGTAATATATTTTAACAGCAGACAAGTTCTACCTTTATTTTCAGCATGAAAGGAGCCCTGGGGTGGTATAAATATTTATATGCTTATAGGAATGAAACAGCTGGAAGTCATTGCTTAGTGGGCCTCAACTTGTGAGTTACACTTTGCATGAGCAGGAATATGACCCCTGAATTAGCACAGAGGAAGAAGGAAGCAGAAGGAACCCATGGCATTGTTGAAAACAGCCACAGTGGGCTGGCTTCCTTATGGAAGCCATTAGGTTTCTAGGTTATTTGCAATTGGCAGGGAAATACACAATCTGTGGCCAAAGCAACTGATAACTTTGGTATCAGGGATATTTCTGAGTTCCTTGCATTCCTGAGTTTGGCCTTTTAATTAATTAAAAAAAGGATCCAACACCCAGAATGCACTGCCTCCTCCCTTCCTGTGAGAAATCTCCACTACTAGAAATAGCTTTTAAAAGCTGCTCTGCTTTCCACCAGCTTTCTAACAGAAAAAAAACCATTATGCTCTGCAACAGACAGTATATTCAGAAGCCTGCTTCACTGAAAAGAAAATCCATGCTCACATAATTACTCCAGGACAGGAGTGCAAAGATTAATTTCTGTATCTGTGTAGATTAATTTCTGTATCTGTGTTAGCCATTACCAAAGTGCCTGTTATGCTGGAACATCCTTAACCAGCAATGCAAACTATGCACTTCCCAAAGACAGAACTTTTGTTCAACATCTCTTCACCTGCTTTTTTAAAAAAGGAGTCAGACCCAGAGCTGTCCCAGCCAATACCAGAGCCAGACAGAGTCACACAGTGCCAGTTTCAGTGGGTAAAAAAGTAATACAGGAACTAAGAGTTAACCTATAAGGCACCTATAAACTTAATGAAGCATGGAAAATCCAGTGCACAGACAGATTTTCCTGCTGCCAAACAGCTAAGCAAAGGCAAAGAGAATCTTCTTTGGGCAACACGCAACAAAGCAAACTTTACATAGCCTATCTGCTTCAAAATCACATTAAAGGACAAAGAAATTGCCTCTTCTAAAAGTTATGGAGGGCAGGAACATTTTGTTTTCCTAGCATAATTTGGTAAAACTGACTCAACACAATCAGATAATGTCAATCACTTCTGCCTCTATGTCTTTTGATGCTGGTGCCAGGTCATGCCCTTGAGAGGTACGGGAAAAGATGTACGAAGAGGATTCCCAGGGCTGTTTGTGTTCTGAAGAGGAGACCGCTCCCCTCAAGGAATTTAAGGAGCTTCCCTGTGCACACAGGAACATATCCAAGCAGTGTGAAACACAAGAGCAGACTCAGGAAGTGGGGTCAGAAGAACAAGTGTAGAGAAGCTTTGACTGCCCATGCAGGGAAAGTTCTCAAATTGGTGACAGAGCCTGACAAAAGCCACAAAATAACAAGATCCTCATTTCCAAAGACTAACTGTTTTGCTGGGCAGGTGTCTTTTTGCTTGGATATTATAATGTCTCTTGTATATGCTATCCATGCAAAAGAAGAACATGAAAAAGACAGAAAAGTAAAAAAACTGAGAAACATTGACTGTAATCTTTGTATTATCTAATGTAGTTCCTTTGAATAAAACACTTTTTTTAAATCTGTCCTGCTCCATCCCTACACCTCTTCCGTGTTCAGCGTATGTTGAGACTTACCTTGGAGACTGGGTCCAGGCTAAGACAAAAGGCTTTTGCAGTGTGGCATTGAGGTCCCCAAACCTGCCCACTGAGGACTAGGTTGGACACACCAAAAGTGAGAGAGCTAAATCTCCATCCTGGCTCATTGCATCCTACAAGCACGTTCTGGTTTTAACAGCCGGGAGCTGCAGCTGTAC